CAAAACTTACCTTTAGATCATCGAGTGGCGATGAAGAAAACCCGTTCTGAGATCTTTTGACGTCCTCATCAGAGCTGCATTCAGTACATGCAAAGTGTTCCAGCTTCTTGGCTTCTTCAATCGTCATGCCTACACAAGCTGGGTGATACCTACAATGACATGTAGAAGTAACTCTTACAATCTAATCAAAAGAGCATAGTATGCAAAAAGCACTTCGATTACTCTTACATCAAAGGGAAACTCACAGACAAAAAAATTGTTTTCACAAAGCTCAATCAGAAAACACTTAGCATTTCCTACGTGATAGCCATATAAGAGGATCGGATAAAATACAGCAGGGAGATTACTGATTATCAAGCAAGCGATCTCACAGGTATGCTTTCCAAACAAATTACCAAAAGCAGCTCATTGAAATTGGAATAATGAACATTAGCATTTACCAGTCCTTGCACCCTTCGCATTGCACCATCAGATCATCTGGATTATACGGCATTTCACATTTGCAATACCTTCAAAGTCAAGTAAAATCTATAAGAAAAGATAGATAAAACAAACTCAAGCAGGTTACAGTAGAGAAAGAAAAAAAGACATGTTTCATTGCTATATCTACTTACACAGCAACTCGATCAGGGGTAAATGCACCAGTAGCAGCTTTATACTCAAATCTACAATAATAATCTTCCGTTCCAACGTTCTCAAGCTTTGTATAGTTTTTAAAGGTGTGAACGATGCATTTTCCTTCGATGGTATGTGCACTCTGAACATCATAATGATCAGACAAGAAAAGCTCTTTAGCTCCATGGAACTGTCTCCTTCCCCCAAGTGATTCCTCAGGACGGTAATACCATCGACAATGCACTTTCACATTGTTCCTCGCATCCGCTTCAATCTTCTCAATACGCGCCACATACGGAGGCTTACCAGCATCCGAAGGACGCATCAAAACACAATCTCCCACTGCAAAAAACCAAACCACCTCAACAATCACATTTGCCACAATTAACTAACTTAACTATTACAAAAGCAATATTGTTCCCTTTCTTTCGACCTAGTCACCAACTAAGCCCAAACCATACATTTTTCCCAATACAACACAGTAACTATGTAGCAGTGACATATTACAGTGAACACAGCTTCATTGGTTGGATCAACATTTATACAAAAGAACACATCTTTACATATTAATTGAGTGTTACAGACTCAATTTAGATAAAAAATTTCAAGTGGTTATAGATATATACAGAAGAGTGTTGAATAATTAGATATGGAAAGTACCTCTAACAATTTTGTTGGTGCCTTTGATAGTATACGCGTCGATATCTTTCCTTCCTGGTTTGTTCTTCGAAGGGGCAACACCAGGTCGAGTTTTCGCCATGAAATCTAGGGTTTTTCCACCGATTTGAGAGCTGGATTGAGCTGGGTTTGATCTGTTTTCGCTTGTTTTCCGTTACAGTCGCTCGAAATGTACGAAGATAGAGAATTTCTAGGAAGATCGGGAAGCTCGAGATCGATGT